CTGGGACAGCCCTCTGCCATATAAACAGATATGAATAATGTTACCCGACCAGTCTGTTATAAGGCTTAAGGCATCTTTTCCCATCTCCTACGTTTTCTGTCGAAAACTTTGGGTTCATGTTAGTAATGCTAGACTTAATAGATGTTGTTTGTTGTAATGGGAGATACTGGAAGGGAATATGACTTCTCCGACTTATTTTTACTTTTTAGATTAATTGCATGGGATTTAAAGGTATGTGAAGAAGTTAATATTCTACTCTAGGGATTTGGTATGCTCCAGTAAAAAAATTAAATTTGGAATATTTATTCTTAATTAAGCCCAAAATTAAAGCATTTTGCTGGATTGGGTTCTTTAATCACAAAGGCTGAGATTCCGAATTACTTAAGTGACTGCAGTACAGGCTTATAGATATATATAAGGCCTTGTGTTAAATCTGTTGCACATTAGCAAATTTATTATATATTGTTATACCAGTGAAAAATAATAGGCATTTTCTGTAGCAGCATTTTTACATTTCCTTAGCACAGCAGCTGAAGGATTGTTGTGTTGGAAGCTTGGTTCCAAGGCTGTGGAAGTCATATAGGAGTTGCTGCACTTTCATGTCCAGCAGTCTTGAAAGAATCCCCATTGCGGTAATATGGTAGCTGAGTATCTGTTGCGTCTCTTTGTAGGACTGCAAGAGTGAGGGTTTTGTGGTGTGGTCATTTGGCTCTAGCAACTGAAATGAAGCCACTAAATCATTTCACGTTAGTTAACTAAACTTACACTGATGGTAACAACCTCTGTTTAATGCCACCTTGAATTAATAGTAGAATTTACTTGAACAAGTAGAATAGAGCATATAGAACAGAATTAATCGAAATTTATTTCAGCAAAACCTACAATTGGTTGTTTCTCTAGCATGATATTGTAGAGGTGTTTTTAAATTGAATAGGTCTCCCATCATGGTCCCTCCCCCCCGCTCCGGATTCAAATCAAATTTAAGCTTGTGTACTTTTCAGTTTATTAACCTAAGCTTAAGAGCACTTCTGTTGTCTTTGGATTTCTTTAGAAAGTGTCAGCTATGGTGTAGATTATTAACACAGTTCCTAACTTTGAAATAAAACTCTGCAGAAAAATGTTTTAAGCTAATTCCTCTGTCTGTGATTGAAAAAGCTGAAGAACAGTAGTAATTCAGTTTTGCAAGCCAGTAACTAGATGGTGACAATTCAAAGCTAGAAATCTACTCATTATTAAATATCTTTGTCTTATTTAATACATTCACTGCCAAATTTATATAAAACTTCTGCACAGATTTGAACTGTTCCTATACTTGGCTTGCTTTAGAGACAGATTTTTAGGTAAAACATCCCATTACTGTTTAAAAACTTGACTTCTGTGTAGTTGTGTTGTTTGTTTGTTGTTTTTAAATGAAATCCTTTCTAGTTTCTTGATTGTGATCGTATGTTTACATGTTTGGTTTTCTTTATGTTGCTTTAAGGTTAAGGAACTTCTGGGGAAAAACCCATTTAAAATCTTGAAAAAGCACTTTTCCATTTCATTTTGAATTTGTTCTTTGAAAAAGAACACCTTCTGAATACTCAGCTGCTTTATACAGTAGCTCTTAAATGTCATTTTATATCTTGCTGAGAACAAAAATGACTAGTTTTCCTTGTTTCACTTTCTTCAGTGTGCAGAGAATGCAGCTTCAACCTGCTTAAACAGGAAACCAGCCAGCAATATTTGACTTTTTTTATAGTCATTACATTTGCTTGCTCTCTCTCTAGTTGTGTCAAACAGTTAAGCTGTAATTGTATCCACAGGTGGCCTATGACTTTTTAGAGGGCATCAATGGTACAATTTAGGAGAGTACCCATAAACCTTGCTGCTGCTTTATTTGAATGAGAATAGCTCTGGTACTGAGTGTTGCCAAATTAGAGGCATAATTAACCCTTGATTCTGGCATTAATTACAGATATCTTTGGAATGGGAAGATGTTTCTATTGGGTAAGAATTTATATATACTGTTAATAGTAGTTATTAAGTAATATTGTCTAAAGAATTATACATCTGGTCCACTACTAGTCATCTTGCCTATAATATATCACTCTTTCTCTCCATCATATGTACATGAGTGTATACATTTCAAATAATTACGTTTTCTTGGGAAATTCTAGTGTTTGCTTGAAGATGTAACTTGAGGTTTTCAAAATTTTTGCAACATTGCCAGTTACTTTTTTAAAAGGCAGAAAATAATTTACTTTTTGGGGGAAAGGCAGCCTGCTTACTAGATTGAGTTTAAATTCCTTGGAGTGTTCCTGGGGCTACATTGGAAATATTCCAAGCTCTCACCAAGAAAGAAGCACCTACCATGCTGTAACTTTGCAATTTAACTTATTAAGAAATGTTTCACTGCCAACAATGTTGTCCTTTATAAAGCAGCCAATTACCATTATGTCTCAGATTGTTCCAAGTTTTTGTCAGCTAAAGACTTATGAGGAACGTAAGGAAGATAGAGACAATTAATGAAGGTTAAGTATTGCTGGTACATAATTTTTGCCTTGCCCCTCCCCTCCCCATTGGGATCGTGATTATCAAAATGATTTAATTATTATTTTCTCAAAGTGAATAAAAATGTTGGGCAAACATTAAACTAACCTGGTGATGCCCAGGACTTTGAGACATAAAGCAGGGGCAGGCAAAATAGGGCCCGCCAGGCCATTCTATTTGGCCTGTGGGACCCCTAAAAAATGTAGGAAATATTGACAGGCAGCCAGGAGCAGATAAAAGACAACAGGAGCCAGGGGCAGTAGGACCCAGGGGGGGTCAGCAGAAAGAGGCAGGAGCCCAGCCCTGCTCTCTCCCAGCTATTTCCCTGCTTCCTGTTCCTGCCCTGCTCCAGCACCACATGGCTCTTGGCTGCATGGTCCAACAATGAAGCACGGGTCAGTGCCATTATGGGGGTGTGTGCGCAGGCAGGGGCAGGAGGTATGTGCGTGGGTGTGGGGGGGGCAGGGGCTGTGTGGGCTTGC